GCGCCCCCGCCAAGTTTTTTTAAAACAGTTTTATGTGGAGAGAAGCAAGCAAAATAGGAATACAACTGGACCTTGATAGTCATTTATTGTGCATTGATACCTCAGTCTTTGTTTCCTACTTCAGATTTGTCCTTTTGTCTGTCAGCTTCAGCTTGGGAACCCCTAATTATTTTTTAAATAGATGAGTCCTCATCTTTGTAAAAAGTCCATTGTGAATCGTCTAAGCTGACTTACTACTGTATTTTAACCACAGTTAGGGAGACACCCTCTGTTTAGTATGTCTCCAATACCAAAATACCCCACATTATGTAGTCAGTGCCCTTGCTCTGCGGGCTCGGCGGCAGCTGTTCCCCTTCCCTTGTCATCGGGATCGCTTTTCTGGCAGTTAGGCTTTTTTGTCATAGTCATCTGTAGTACTGTTTTTTCTCTCTGTGTTTAGACTGAAAGTTCTTCGCAATCCTCTATCTTATGCCTTCTTTTTTACATTGTAGATACTCGAGGTCTAGAGTTCTGGGGGGAAATTCATTTAATGTGGGGTTGTTTTCTCCTTTAGAGTCTAATCTGAGTTTTTAATTTTAGATTTTTAGTCTTTATGAGACATTTGCATTTCAACTGTAAAAAGTTATTTGGAAATTGAAAGTTATCTAATCTGCCAGCCATATTACCCATCTATGTCCTTGCTTTTTGAAAAGATTTTTGTCCTTCAAAGTGTGACACTTGTATAACAGTGCTGTTGACAGGGTTTTAATTTACAAGTTACTCTCACAACTTTTCTTTATGGAGAAGATATTTGAGACTCAGAAATTGAAGGCCTTCCCCAAATCAAGCTTTGGCAGTCAGTTAGGCCAAGGTCCAACTCTTAAGTATCTTATTATGCTGCTTTCTGTAATTCTTCGACTAATCATTAACTACCTTTGTTTATATGTTGCTTTGCCAAGATTTACATGATCACAAATTATATTGTTATACATTTTATAATGGCACTTGGGAGAACTAAGTGCATACAGTAGTCAAATGTGAATAAAAAATGTTTTTATCTAGTCCTTGTCTGCCTGGTTTATTTCAGCTAAGGATTGTGGTTGGCATATATAAGTGGGGGTTAAGGAAAATGGAACTAGCTATTGTGGCTCTGTTTTTCCTGGCTCTGTTTTTCCTCACTGGACTAAGAGAAATGGTACAGGGAAAAGATAATGGTGTGATGGTATTTCAGCAAGGTCATTCCAAACTACAGCTTCAAATACATGGTGTAAAGGGGACTCTCTAGTATCTGGCACACTGTGTACTTTAATATTCATTAAAATAGTAACTTAAGGGGCACATGGCTGGAGTAGACGGTTGAGCATCTTGAGTCTTGGTTTCAGCTCAGGTCGTGGTCTTGGGATGGGCCCCATGTCGGGCTCTGCACTCAGTGTGGAGTCTGCTTGGGATTCTCTCTCTCTCCCTC